GTTGTGATCAGATAAAGTAGTAAACACATAGTATAAATTAACCAAGAAGAATGGGGAGTTTAAAGCATAAACTATAATTATTTGTAATTCATAGACCACATTTCCTTTTTTATCATTGGGATTGTCTACAGCGACCACCTCAGAATTAATATTATCTTTAATATATATAGCTAATCCTCCTGCTATGCGATCTTGTCTATTTAGAGTAAAACATTTATATTCAGGGGTGTATCCAGGTACATTTTTAGTTTTATATAAAGGTAATTTAGTTTCCTGGATACAAAATATATCAATTTGAGGATTATTATCAATAAAGTTTTTAATTTAACTATGTGTATGACTTGATAAACCCTGAATATTAAAAGAAATAATATTAAGGTTCCTAGACATAACTGGGCTGTTTCTTGGGTGCATTATTTCTAGTTTTGATATTTGGTGTCTTAACCATTTCATTTATAGATTTCCTACAACCTTTAAGTTTGCCGGGGGATACAGGGGGTCTGTAACCCCCACCTATCTTATTGGCACCACGGGAGATCAGAGACCTATGCACTCTCACTTCCATACCCTGGGTATCACACTTGTTACTGTTGGGGCCTAAGTTTACTTTATTGGATAAAAAATTTCAAATATATCCATCAAGTTTATTTTTAGCAGGTTCACTTTTGTTGGTAATTAATTCTTTAACTAGACTTACTAATTTTTCTAATTCAACAGACTTTTTCATAACCTTGTTTACCTGCAAGTCTATAAATTTAACCTCTTTTGGTGGGGACACTTTTTCAATAGATTTATTTACAAGATGTGCCTAGGTACACTCTGAATGGGCGAATCATCAATCAATAATAGCCCGGACAGAGATAAATTTTTGTACTTCCCGAGTGTATCTTCCTCGGAGGTACTTTTTAGACAAGATGTATGTACCGAGACCAGGGAGTCCTCCTCCGTGACATCGAACGCCCCATAGTCACTCACAGTTGGATCTTCGGATACCCCTGTGTTTGACGGTGCGGTCCCTGTCACAGCTTAGGGCTCCTCGGTCTTAGTTCTCTTTGAGGATGAGTTATTTTTGGGGACATTTTCTTTGAGTTGTGACCCAAATTATAGCTAGAAGGGTCTCCATAGCCAAGTAGAGATACGAATCCCTACCGGGGGTAGCCGTCTCCTTTAGACAATCACTATAACGTTTCTAGTTGCTTTTGTTCAAATAAAAGCCCTGGGGTCAAAATTGGCCCCGCCCCGGGGGTCATTGATTTTCCTTATACATGTATGTATAAAGTAAAAAAAATTAAAAAAGCAAAACTTTCTTTTAAAAAACATGAAACATTTTCTAGTGAGTGTCTATCAAGATTGTTCAAATAAAAGCCCTGGGGTTAAAATAAGCCCCACCCGGGGGTCATTGATTTTTCTTAAATGTTTATAATAAAAACTTCTTTTTAAAAAATCTTCTTTTTAGCTCGACTTTTTTTGAAAAAAAAAGTAAAGGTATTGTTAAAGTCGCGGCGGCGTTGCCGTTGCCATTCGCAATCTTGTACCTGGGTCATAACTTCTTTAGTTCTTGGTGTATTGTCTTCATACTTGGCCACAACAACCCTTGGGACAAGACCTTTCAGAAGACTACACTAACCTTGACATTCATCCATAAATGACCTTGACCTTCAAGGTTAAATGTCCAAATTTTGCTTGTTCTTGCTATTATTGGCTGTCACTTTGTTATTTTTGAACGGATTGTCTTCAAACTTGAACATAATAATTTTCAAGGATATCCCTTAAAAATAATTAGACAGACCTTGACCTTCACTCATAAATAACCTTGACTTTGAAGGTTGAATTAGAGATTACAGGTACAATAATACAAATAACAATATTCAGCAATTAAGACCTTTCATTCTCTTTTCCTTCCATTATACCTACATGTTAAAGAAACCTTTTCTGAGGCATTCGTCACTTGGGTGACAGCTCTTGTTTTTTCTTCTTTTAAACAAGAAAGTTTAAACATCCATTTTAGTCTTTTGAAAATATTGTAAAATTTTCATACAAATATAATTGAAATCTTGTCAATGGTTTTTAGCTCGACTATTCGCAGAATAATCGAGCTAATGCAGTCACCTTTTTGTCGGCGTCGGCGTCCCTGTGGTTAAGTTTTTGCATGCAAGCTGGTATCTCCATAACTACTAAAGGGAATGGCTTGAAACTTCACACACCTGTTCTCTGTGATTATCTTACATGATTTGCACAAGTCCCATAACTCTGATTTGTCTTTTTACATAATTATGCCACTTTTTCGACTTAGAAATTCTTGGTTAAGTTTTTGCGTGCAAGCTGGTATCTCCATAACTACTGAAGGGAATGGCTTGAAACTTAACACACATGTTCTCTGTGATTATCTAACTTGATTGGAATAAGTCCCATAACTCTGATTTGCTTTTTTGGATAATCTTGCCCCTTTTTCGACTTAGAAATTCTTAGCTAAGTTTTTGCGTGCAAGCTGGTATCTCAATAACTACGGAAGGGAATGAATCGAAACTTCACTCATTGGCACAAGTCCAATATCTCTGATTTGCTTTTTTGCATAATTATGCCACTTTTTCTACTTAGAAATTCTTAGTTAAGTTTTTGCGTGCAAGCTGGTATCTCCATAACTTCTGAAGGGAATGGCTTGAAACTTCACTCACTTGTTCTCTGTGATTATCTAACATGATTGGCCCTAGTTTGCTTTTTTGCTTAATTATGCCCCTTTATCTACTTAGAAATTCTTGGTTAAGTAAATATCTCCGTAACTACTGAAGGGTTTGTGCCTTTTTTTGAACAATTTTATGCATTTTATAATAATAAAGGAGTGATTAACTCGATAAAACATCTGAATAACAAGCCTTGTATCTTTTGGGACAATTTTATGTATTCATATAGGTAAGCATTATTATACTCAATGAAACACACTTGTGACAACTTTTCGAATAGTCGAGCGTTACTTGTTGATATTTAATAAGACGAAGGTGTTTCAAGTTAATTAGTTTGTTTCTTCTTTATGTCTTTATGTTTGAGACAGTCGAAACAAATATTGGACAGATGTAGAATACGATTTTAAAGGAGAAAAATGGATAATTAAAAGTATGATTTAAAAGATATATAAGATGATGATTGTTAAGTGAAAATGAATGAGATTAAAGTTTTGAGTTATTTCTTTTCAAATGACATAATCTTATAATGATATATAATTTATTAATATATATAATGTGAAATTTTTGAATCAATTTGGACAAATATCCCCCAAAAAAATATTAATTTACATTTTGGAACTTAATATTTGTTATATAGCAAAGAATAACAATAACTTTAAGATAGAAAGAAAAAGTTAAGACATACTTTTATGTGCATGTACAGAGTAGCAATTGACATCACAATGCTATATTAAGAATACAATGTCCATCGCTAAATTAACTACTCTTTTTTAACATATTGTCAAACCAGGAATGTCCAAAATATTTGCCTTTTATTTCACCAAATGACAAACATATAGCTTTTGCAAAATATTGTTAATCAATTTTTTGTCAAATGATTCAATTTTAAAAAATTTAATATATACAATATACACCATATTGTGAATTTGGTGAAAAATACATGGTAGTAATGTACCAATAACTATGTCATTTGTAAAATCAAATTCAGTTAAAGGGACTCCACTGAGGTAATTGGACATGATGGGACTGAAAATATTTTTTTCAGATAAATTTACCATTTGATGTAGGTTTAGACCACCCACTAATATTTGTTCAAAATATCAGATCATTCGCACACTTCGTTTTTCCAGAATACTTTTTCAAATTGTAAAAAAAAATGTCCTAAAATGAAAAGCGTTTAAATGCTTTTCACTCAAATCGGGATAAGAAAAACATAAAAATGCGATTTTCAATTTCATTTCAAAGTACATTTCTGAACTATCATTGCATATATTTCTGTTTGAAGTGCCCCAGCTCATTTATGTAAGAAATTCGAATGTTATGTATTTAGGCTTTTAAACCTCAGTGGAGTCCCTTTAAGTACAAAACATCCTGTTCTCTTATATATTATCACACGCATACATGTTTTCATTAAGTATGTGTCAAATTGTTTTATTTGACAAAGTTTTTTACAAGTATAAATTGAAAGAATTAAAAAATGTTTTGATCTAATGTCGACATATATATTTATTGCAATATAAATAAGCGTTAATTTAAATTACTTTATACAAGAAGAAACTGACTTACCTATTAGTATTAGATACAAAATATTCAAATTACTTTATAGTATTAGATACAAATTATTCAAATTACTTTATAGTATTAGATACAAATTATTCAAATTACTTTATAGTACTAGATACAAAATATTCAAATTACTTTATAGTATTAGATACAAATTATTCAAATTACTTTATAGTTTTAGATACAAATTATTCAAATTACTTTATAGTATTAGATACAAATTATTCAAATTACTTTATAGTATTAGATACAAATTATTCAAATTACTTTATAGTATTAGATACAAATTATTCAAATTACTTATAGTATTAGATACAAATCATTCAAATTACTTATAGTATTAGATACAAATTATTCAAATTACTTATAGTATTAGATACAAATCATTCAAATTACTTATAGTATTAGATCCAAATTATTCAAATTACTAATAGTATTAAATACAAATTATTCAAATTACTTTATAGTATTAGATACAAATTATTCAAATTACTTTATAGTATTAGATACAAATTATTCAAATTACTTATAGTATTAGATACAAATTATTCAAATTATTTTATAGTATTAGATACAAATTATTCAATATATACAATATTAACCACTTTCAATAATTGGGGCCTCTTGTGTACGTTTATGTTACTTTTTATACATGAAATTATTTGCACTTAAGATAAGTAAACAATATTTATTCTGTTTCATTGATTCATTAACCGATTATTCTCTCTTATTGTTTCAATTTAATTTTATTTCTAGAAAAAGATAGCGAGAAGAAAGTTGAAACCATTTTGAGAAAACGTCAAGAAATCAAAAGTAGGCAGTTATTACAGCAAGATAAATATCAACACTCGGACACCAAAGGTATAAATGTCGTTTTACATGAAATGATTTGCACTCAAGATAACTAAAAAATATTTATTCCGATTCATTGATTTATTTACAGATTTTTCTGTTTTATTGTTTATAACCCTACCCTTCATTTTTATTTTAGCGCAAGAAAGACATATCAGGGAGGTATTAAACCCCTTTGGGTTAAAAGGTCAAGATATTAAAAAATTGGAGTTACTAGTATTGGAACCTACATTACAGCAAGATAAACATAAGCTCTCTATAACAAAAGGTATCGTAGATGACTCTGTTTTGCACAATATACATATTAATATAATACACTACCATATTCAATAAAACTTTAAACTCTTTATCTGAATGAAACAATTTTCCATGGAAAATGTCATGATTACACTTACAACAGCGTATAACATTACAATTTAATTTACAAACTTTAAGGTAAAATTACATTATCATAAGCATGCCATTTACTGCATGCGACTCATCTGGCAACTCCAATGCCAGATGAAATTTCTGGCATTGGTAAAACAACGGAAATGCCCGTCTGATATGCAAGAAAACCTCTTCCTTTTTATCAACTTTTTGTAAAAAAATGTTTATATATTAAAAAGGTTAAATGTGTGTTTAATAATGCTTAATAATTGAATTGAAGCATTTTAGATATTAAAAAAGTCATAGACAGAAATGATAAATTTACTAATGTTTCTAAAAGATAACATCGATTGCTGAACATTACTTCTTTTTTTCATGGAATTACTCATAACTGCATGTTGCATGTAGAAAGTGTTACTTTTTAGGGTTTGTTCTAGCGTTTCCGTTCCGCTGCCATTCGTTGCGGTATGCGAAATACGAGCTTGATTTATGAACTATTTATTCAAATAACTTTATTTCTCTTTTTTCCTTGGGATGAAGAAAATATAACGACAATATATCAATGTTATTATATAAATCTGCTAAAGTTAGAATTTATATGGTCTTTCACTTCCATTGGTTTTCAATTTGCGATTATTTTAGAACACCATTGTTTGCTAGTGTAATTGCCTTTTTACATCATTTCATTTTTGCTCTCATTTCTCATGTAAATGAGAACATTTAAATGTTGATCAGTAAATGAATAAGAATAATAATTTTTACAATTACCGAGAACATGTCTTGTAAATTGTCAGGCGAACGAACTTTAAATGACGTCAGTAAGAACTGTTCAAAATTGGTGGGACAAACTGTAATTATCGATGATTATGATACAGAGGAAATAATATTAACCAATTAAGAAGCTCTCTGATTAATCGACATTATGAACAAGTGAATGAACGTCATAATGACATTGTGAAAAAAAAAATTGTACGCAAATCATGAACCAGTGCAATTATGTAAAAATACAAAACGGATTATATAATCCATCAACTGACACGATACATAATAAAAGCTCAAACATGTAGGTGTATTTCCTGTACAGAAGGCCAATACAAGTATCTACAAGCTTGACAACAATATTTCTGGGCTTTTTGAATGGTACAAAGCATTCATTTAGATTGAGTTTTTGACTAACAGCAGTAATAGCATTAATAATATCAGAATAATATTGGGTGTTATAAAGGCCGACTATCTGGAGATGCATCTTGCAAAAAAGTCTAGACATTCTATAAAATCCTTCGGACATATAAATTTAAAATAATTTTGCTGATATATTTAGGATATGTTTACACTGCAAAATATATCAGGTAAATTAACCTGGACACGTTCTATAGTTTAATTAACATTTTTGTTCGTTTTAGCTCGACTATACAAAGTATACGGAGAGCAGTCCTACTCGCTCCGGCGTCGGCGTCCGCGTCCGGATTTAAGATTAAAGTTTTTGTGCAGTAAAATATTTTTCACTATGACTTTGTCATTTCTTACGATATCAACTTCAACCTTCAAGTATATATTCCTTATCAACAACCACATCTTTTGTGACAAGGTTCATAACTCAAGCACCAATATTTTCAGATTTATCTCCCCTTGAACTTAGAATTTTCCTTAGTAAATACTATTTTTACTGTTACTTCTTTATTTCTGAAGGGATCAACTTCATACTTCAAATATATATACCTTATTATCATCCACGTCTTATGTGATAAGGTTCATAACTCTAGTACTTATATTTTTAAATTTATCTCCCCTTGAACTTAGAATTTTCCTGAAAAAATATTATTTTTACTGTTACTTATTTATTTCTTAAGGGATCAACTTCATACTTCAAATATGTGTTCTTTATTATTAACCACACGTTATGCAACAAGGTTCATAATTCTAGCACCAATATTGCAAGAATTATCTCCCCATAAACTTAGATTTTTTTTTAACTAGAAAAATGTTATGTTTTACTATAACCTTTTTAGTTTTACCTAAAACGTCAAATACTTATTCCTTATCATCAATTTCATTTTATGTGACACGTTTCATAACTCTTGAAGCAATATTTACAGATTTATCCCTTTTAGAAATTAGGATTTTCTTTAAGAAATATTATAACATTTTTGTTTTTTAAGGTATCTACTTCAAACTTCAAATATATATTTCTTATCATTACACTTGTTGTGTGACAAGGTTCATAACTATAGCATGACTATTTCCAGATTTATTCCCCTTGATCTTAGAATTTATGTTAACAATGTTATTTTTTACTATAACCTAATATATAATTATACATAATTGATTTTTCTTTCATAGTTTTGTCTTCCTTACTGCGTCCAGTATTTCATTAGTCGAGCTTAGCTGTCTCCTGTGACAGCTCTTGTTACACTTTATTTTAGTTTGTCAAGTTGTGATAAGATTAAAGTAGTAAAACATACTAGTATAAATTGCTTAAATTTTTAAGGGTTTATGTGAAGATTTGAGAAAAAGAATATTTTCTATACACTTAACAAAACTTATAACTGTGCAGTTTTTAAATGTGAATTACTTTTTTATTACTTGACATTTTTTACCCAAATTTTGGAATTCATCGTTTGAATGGTTTATTTTTACAATGCTATATTCAGAAATAACGGTTATTTTTGTTGTGTGCGTTCATCCGTGACATGACATAAACAACAAAGTGCACGTGAGGGTGACAGGTTGGTGCTAAATGAAGGTATTATTGACCATCAAGGATTCTATTAAAATAAAGACATCCAAAAAACATAAATTTATTGCAGAATTTTTGCAATAGAAAGAAAAATGGCCATCTAGAAGTTTTACGCAAGGGAATTTGCATTTCGGGCGCCCATTTGGAAAATAAATTTGCATAATATTTTCTCAAATAAACATATTGACTAAGATTTTACTTTAAAACTAAAAACAAACTTTCTTGGTACTTTCATATTAATGAAAATATGGTGTTTGCATTGCTTTTACCAACTGGGTACAACGCGTTACGGAGATCGACATAAACCAGTCTTTACTGAAATTCAATAAAGCAAATATTAAAATCACAGTGACATAATGCCCTGGAATTCATTGAAGTATTATACCCTATTTGTGATCCTATGTTTTATGTTTGTATTTTAGTGAAATCAAGAGATTTAGACCTTTTTGCACCCATATAAATACACATTTTACAGAAATGTGAAATTCGGTTTTCGCGCAATATTGCACACATCGCTATTTCTCAGTAAGTACGAATCGCCCTGACATAAAACTCGATACCCATCATTGCACATATCTGTACTATACTTGGTTAAAATTTCAGAGACCTATGTTTATTAGTATCTGAGAAAATTTGATTTTTATACGTGCACACTTATAAGATTTGTTAAGTGTAAAAAAAGCATAACGTTATAGCTGTCCACTTTCATTCACATATTGTCAAGCTAGGTTTGTCTTTTTATGCACTCAGAAGTAAAGACTATTGTAAAATAGGAACTGTTAAATATGAAAAAGATAATAATAAATTACAAATACGCTTAATATCAGTTGAGTTATTTTATTTAACATAATTATATTACATATCCTTAATGCGGAAATGTTAAGACGATATGCACAATACATATAATTATAGAAATTGACAATGACAGTAAGGGTGAAGATGGATTTCTATAACCAGAATCAAGGAACTCTACATACAAATACTTTGCAATTGCAATTTTCAGTAGCGTATCTTTCGATTCTGAATGTATTGAACAATTTCCTGCACATATTACTGGACACTTTTTTCAATGCTTTTGACTTGCTTTGCCATAACGGAAAAAGCAAAAATTCGTTAAGGGATGAGTCGACAATACTACAGACAAAATTTCCTTGCTTTAGCTTAAAAACTTCAAATATCGTATTAATAAATGTTTAAATTATGACCTTAAAAGGGATAAATGTATTGATTTAGTAGATATGTCTAAAAATCATTACAGAAACCATCGAAGAAACAGTTGCAACTGCAGAAGCTATCCCAAACGAGCTAGACCAACCAGTGACAAGGAACCCAAACGAGCTAGACCAACCAGTGACAGGGAAACAGAATCAGAATATTCGGAACTAAACAGCAGTCTTGATGGGACTGATTTCAAATTGCTCAATTTCTGAATGAAGAACATTTTTTACGACTAAGAAGCTAATTAAGTAATTTGTAAGTCACTGGAAATCGAATTTTTAACAAACAAATGACGATATGTCCAAAATCAATCATGACAAAGTTGTAGGTGTCTTACCATATTGTGGCATATTTCTGCCAACAGGTAATCATATTATTATCGCATTTATTATCGCCATATAATCCTGTTAGATAGATAAATGACGAATAAGTATCTAACTGTCAAAAACACTAAAAAGTGCCGAGAACTGTAAACACTTACCTGTAAAATAAAAGATAGTTAAATGTTTATCTATAAAACTTTTGTTTGTTAACTTTGGTATCAGATAATTATTTGTATAACTAGATAAACTTTTAGTTAATAGGTAATGCGGAATGTTTCGGCCCTATCCCTTGTCTTTTTCAACGCATTAAATGGTTATCTAAACAAAAAATTCTGTTACCAGTTCAATCACAGATAATTATCGTCTATCAAATTCATTTTCCTGTTAGGTAGTTAGTAATTTAGTATGAAAGATTTAAGATAATTATCTGTATAACTAGTTAATTTTTCATAAAACAGATAATATTTATTGCAAAATATTTTGTACACATTCCTCCAAAGGGTGGAACCTATTTGTTTTGGCAATTTTAGCGGAAGGGTTACATATTTTTTAATATATTGCACAATTCTTGGCGAGTATCAGTAAAGTTATCCTATGATTATAAACCCATTTTGAAAGGGATAGTTTCTATGGGTAGGACATGGTTAATTGGTTATTTAAGAAATATGGCTTTTGTTTAGAGAAGTGGTATACATTGTGCTCTTTAAATTACCATCAGACAATTTTAATAATTATATAAAAGAAACTTTTTCTACAAGATAATTCTACCTTTGGCCATTAATATGCACATTTAAATAAACATGAAACAGAAATAAAGTCTAAAACTATGACATTATACACTGTGAATGTAAATATATACATTATATTGATAACCAAATGAAAAACAATAAATTATTATCACTATTTGCGATAATAGGCTAAACTTAATTCTACGGAATACCGTTAGGGCCGTCGTTGATTACTATAATCTACAGGGCGACAATGTGACAGTGAGATAATGACCATATATTTTTGCAACTTCAAAGAGGAAAACCGTCTTTTCACTGGAATTTTCTGCTGATAAAAGGACTGGCATACAGTTTTTATAGATGCAAATATAGTCACAAATTATCATATAGACTTATGAGAGATTCATTTTCGTAAGAAAACAATAAAGTGTTGGTTTTTAAAAAGGGGTTTCATAATTACAAGCGTCTAATTTTCCTGAAAATCACCTCATGTCTTACGGTATAATCTGTTTTTTCCTGCACTTTTTAAGCCAATCGCTGGCTATGTTACAATACGAAAGTCTGGCCGTTATTTTGGATTTCGGTCTATATAGGGTGGACCTTGGTAAAGTAACCTCCCACGGAAAGTGTTTAAGGTATTCCGCATTACTAGTATCTATTAACTAAAAATTTAATAGTTATACAGATAATTGTCTTATATCTTTCATACTAACTGATCTGACTAAGTAACTAATGGAAAAATTAGTTTGATAGTCGGATAATTATCATATATTGCATATTCTTTGTATGGGGACACTTAATCTTGAAATGTTCTCAGTTATTGGTTATTATTGTTTGATAAACACTGATTTCATTTTGATTCATTAAGAAAATCAAAATCACATTGGTATAAGTGTTTATGATTCCTCGAAAAGTTATATATTCTGAGAGCTCTGCTTTGACTCTATCATCAAAACCATTTACTGTGAAAATAAACAATTATTTCAAAATGAATATCATTTTATTTTCATTTTATATTTCTTATGTTTTATTTAATTTTGGATTTGAATGTAATACATCTTGTAGCCCAGAGCTACAAGATATAGATTTAGCATGTACATAGTTATAAATATATAGAGGATATTGAATGAGTGTAGTTTAATACTACATTTATTGAACAAGTTGAATAAAATCATATTATGCGAGCCTCTGGCGAGCATAATATTGTTTTATTCAACGAGTTCAATAAATTTAGTAATGAATCTACACGAATATAGTATTCTTTTTATCACATATATAAAATAAGAACAATAAACTGTTGAAATGAGTAATTTTTCAATGACGCGCCCATCGTGTAACGCTAACATTAGCGTGCGTTAACGCTATGTTTATATATAGAGTAAATGCAGTCACGTCAACGTGATATTATTCTAGTGTAATAACGTTTTTATTAATATAGGGTTAACGCACGTTTTTCCGTGTTATAACGTCTGCAGAGTCCCGAGGAACGGTTGGTGCCCGAGCCCGGTAGGGCGAGGGCTCCAACAGTTCCGAGGGACTCTGCAGACTTTATAACACGAAATAAACGTGCGTTGACGCTATTATAGCATAAAATTTTAAAACAGATTCATGATGCATATTATATATAAAACACAAACATTAAATCCTTGTGCTTGAACGGTATTTATCCAACTCTACATGTTTTACGTATGCGTTTTATTTTTTCCGGGGCCAACAACTTGAGAACCGAACGAAATTTTGAATTTTAATTGATTTAACAAAGTTTTACTTTGGAGATATATTAACTTAAGAAAAACATAACATTACTCTACCCAAGACAAAACAGACGCCTCAGAAATTCCTAGAATGACTACAGATTGGCGGTAGGAAAAAGATCAGTGACATCAGATTCAAATTCAGAATCGGTTTTTTTAAGCACGCAAGTTTAAAAAAAATCAGGCATAAAACATTATTCTCTCAAAGAAACATACAGAACATTTATCAATATAAACGTCAATAAAACAACGTTTTCTTATATTCATTTTGTGCTTTCCACTTTTGTAAGTTAATCGGGGGATTAAACTGAATGACAGATTCTATTTGTTTACATTGACAACTGTCCGTTTCTAAGAAAGGGCGACAACCAAGATAAGCGGCGATGTCTATACGCCGTATTGCCGGCATAATTACTTGAATGCTGCTCGCCGTTATGCGACTGAGGCCCTCGAATTAATAATTCCAATATAACAAGAGCGCATGATTCTGGCAAACAGGCCAAATCGTCATTTTTTGTTTGTTTACTGGGCCCTGTATGTTTTGCGCATAGGTAAAACCGGGCTATAACAAGAGCGCGTGACTATGTTAACGCATGGTTTTGGCCCCGTTATAACATGGGCAAAAGAGGGAAAAATAGCCGATTTTATGCTATAAATGGCTTTATTACACTCTTGCGGCGCGGTTTATGTGATAAATATGTTAAGTGTTTTAGTAGTGAAACTACTGTCCTAGGATGATAATTTGGTCTTAACGGTACATGGGAAAGTCTAAAAACGGGATTATCTGGATTATTATCCAATATCGTAAAAGTAAACACTTATATATACTATATAGCATAATTCTTACAGTATCGTTTGTGTAATTACCGTTATGGCTCTGTCAGTAGACCGAAATTATTGTAACCTTTAGTGTTTTGTACTCATAAGTTCGAACCCTACGTAGTGCCGTTTTAAAACCACAGTTTTTCCTTCTTGCTCTGTTCTTTTTATCATTAGAATTATTTTTTATTTTTCGTTTTCCTTTTTGTTTTTTTCTTATAATATATACTTTATAGTATATATTTATTTATTTTCAACAACAAATCATTTATACCTTCTGCTACTGAATTATGGAATGCATTAGACACCGAAATTCGCGAAATTAATTCATTGAATATTTTTAAATCTAGAATAAAAGAAAAGTTTAAAGCCCCCGTAGTACCTAAACACTTTTTGTTTGGCATAAGATATTTGTCAGTTTTACATGCTCGTTTAAGGAACAATTGTAGCAACTTAAACGCTGACCTTTTTAAAAATCATTTGAGAGAAAGTCCGACTTGTGTATGTGGGAACGTTTGTGAGGATGCCGAGCACTATCTATTTTGCTGTCCATTATTTCAACCTCAGAGACTTATACTCTTCGCAGAAACCAGAATTTTTCATCCTCTTAATGTTGAGATATTACTGTGGGGTAGCAATTCTTTAGATGTTAACAATAATGAACAAATATTTGCGGCTGTCCAAAAATTTATCAAAACTACTGACCGTTTTCGAAACACATGATATTTTTGTAAATCGGCCGATTGCACTAGTCGCATTTTGGGACAAATTAAATAGATGTTTAGAAATAGCTTCTGAACAAAAACAAAATATAATCTTGGTAGGTGATATAAATGAAGACCAACTCAATTCTTCCAACCATAAATTCCGTGACATTCTTTTACTAAATAATATGACTAATTTTATACATGCCCCAACTAGAATAACATCTAGTTCACAAACATTACTTGATCCTATCGCAGTTACAAATAATATTTTCGTTTTTGATTCAGGTATATTTGAAACACCAAAAGAAGTTAGTGACCATTTTGGAACATATATTTTTCTAAAAATCGATTTTGATTCAAATAAACCATTCAAAAGACGTGTTTGGAATTATAAAAAAGCTGATTTTTCAAAACTTAATAATCTTATCCGCAATACTGATTGGTCAGATATAAAAAATGGAAATATAGATCAAGCTTGTGACTTTTTTACTGATAAATTCTTAGAACTTGCAAAACAGTGTATTCCTACATATATGGCGTTGATAAGACCTAAGGATAAACCCTGGTTCAATTCAGAAATTCGCAGAAAATCGCGCCAAAGAGATAGACAGTTTCACAAAGCATTAAATTCTAATAGATCATCAGACTGGGTAATATATAAACAATTAAGAAATACAGTAAATAATATGAAAAAACATGCAAAAGAAATATTTTATAATAACCTCGAATTTTCCCTAAATGACTTAAATTCTTCGAATCCGCGTAAATATTGGCATACAATTAAAATGCTTGTCAGGGAAAACTCGTCGAATACTGAAAGTATACCACCTTTAAAATGTAACACAAGTAACAATAATTATTCAATGACAGATTTTGAAAAAGCTAATACGCTTAATGATTTTTTTGTTTCCATTTCAGACCTTGACGAATCAAATATTGATCTTCCAGATTTTTCATTAAGAACAGAAGCGATTCTTGAAAATTTTACAATAAGTGAACAGGAAATTACAGATATTTTGGCAAATTTATTCGTAAACAAAGCATCCGGGCCTGACGAAATTAGTCATAAAATGTTAAAAGAAACGTCTAAAACACTGTGTAAACCACTCTCTTTGCTTTATAACCGTTCTTTATCAGAGAAAATATATCCGTCTAGTTGGAAATTAGCACATGTAATGCCTCTTTTTAAAAAAGGTGACAAAGATATACCGTCAAACTACAGGCCTATTTCTCTTATCAGTTGCACCGGCAAAGTTATGGAACGTATCGTTTTTAAACATATTTTTAACTATCTTCATGAAAATGCTTTAATATTTCAAAATCAATCAGGTTTTCTGCCTGGTCATTCAACTGTTTTTCAACTTATAGATATATATGATCAAATTTGTAAAGCTTTAGACAAAAAAGAATCAACATGTATGGTTTTCTGTGATATATCAAAAGCGTTTGACAGAGTTTGGCATAAGGGTTTAATTTTCAAATTAAGACAGTACGGAATTTCAGGTGATTTAATTCTTTGGCTAGAAAATTATTTAATGAATAGAAATCAGAAAGTTTTTGTTGGGACTTCTTTTTCTATTTTACGTTACCTTCATGGCGGTGTCCCTCAAGGCTCGGTTCTTGGGCCTCTTTTGTTTTTAATTTACGTTAATGATATTGCCGATTCCCTTTTAAGTATAACACGACTTTTTGCAGATGATAGTTCTTTAGCTGTGTCTACAAATAATATTAGTACGATGGAATATAAACTCAATCATGATCTCAATATGTTAAATAAATGGTCTAAACAATGGTTGGTTAATTCTAATCCTTCTAAAACCGAGGTTATGTTCTTTTCGTTTTGTAATAAAGATCGCCCACAATTATACTTTGATAATGTTCAATTAAATTTTATAGAGCACCATAAACACCTCGGCGTAACTCTAAGTCAGGATGGATCATGGCACGAACACATTACTACTATAGTTTCTTCGGCATCAAAAATTTTAGGTTCTATGAAAATGATAAAGTTTTAAGTTCAAAGAAGTACACTCAATAATATACATGTATATATTTCATACTTACGTCCTCGTCTTGAATATGCTTCACTTTTATGGGATAACTGTACCCAGTACGAGAAAGATATTTTAGAAAAAATGCAATATGAAGCGGCTAGAATTGTCACCGGTTTAACAAGATCAGTGTCCATTCAAAAATTATTAAAAGAAATAGGTTGGGTATCTTTGGCAGAAAGAAGAAAAATTCAAAAACTTGTTTTAGTATACAAAGATAAACATAATTTACTTCCATTATATTTATCACAGTTATTTCCCCCTTTAGTAGAAAATGCAAATGAAAACCAGTATAATTTAAGAAATAACATCAATTATGTTACTATGACAAGGAGGACCGAAATATACTCAAAATCAGTTATACCGTCATCAATACAGCTTTGGAATGAATTATCAATAAATATTAGAGAATCTGACTCGTTAGCAAACTTTAAAAGAAAACTGAAAGAAATTTATAAACCTCCCATTGTTCCGTCTTATTTTATAAACGGTGAGCGCTCACCAACAGTATACCATACACGTCTTAGGAATAATTGCAGTAATTTAAACTCGGACTTGTATAACAATCATATTACACAAAACCCAGCTTGTGAATGCGGTGCTTTAATAGAGGACGCTGAACATTTTTTATTTCAATGCAAAAAATTTAATCATCAGAGGATAGAACTTTTTAGAAATACAAGAGAATTTCATCCTCTCAGTACGCAAAAGTTACTTTTTGGTATAAATACTTTAACTAATTCTCAAAACATGCTTTTATTTCATCATGTTCATCGGTTTATTAAAGAAACGAAAAGGTTTATATAGTTTAACAACATTTGATCTTCTTTTATACTTTGTTTTTATGGTTCTAAACAAATTGTTAGACTATTGTCAGCTGTCAAAATTCATAGTAAAACTGTTGTAGGGGGTAGGCGACGTGTTTTTTTTTTTTTGTTTTTTTTTTCATATATCATAAAATATATTTATTTACAATTTCTTTTTTCTGATTATTTTTTCTTAGATTTCAACTTAATTAATCATACTTTACATATGTCTTTTTCACATCTATTTTTAAATAACATTGCAGTCAGTTTTTCAGGGGAGGGCCCCCGAT